TATATATGAAGCTTGACAGTGAGGTCATGCCCTGGTCATGGGTGTCTCCAGTGTTCCCAGACTCCAGCACTGGGGAAATGATATTTAGACCCCCAGGAAACCACAATGTAGAAAACATGCCGCCAGGGTTATGGGCCAGTGAGGTTTTTGTACAACTTCCACTTGCTTGTGTGGGTCCATAAGTGCTTCTGCAGCCTTGTGAACCTGTGCAAACAGGCAGACAGTAGGGGAATGTGACCATGACAGCCTTCAGTGGGCTCATGCCTCCTAGATTCTTCTCTGGCCTGCAGCCAGGCGACCTTGTGCTGGCTGCCTAATTAATCTGTGCTTCAATGTCCCCTCTTATCAGCTATGTGATCTTGAGCCACGATTCTATGTCCTTGTGCCTTAAAATATACTCATGAACCCTCTCCTCTCTGTCCTTTCATTAAACAGCCTTGTGTAAGTTTTAAAACCCTAATGTAGAGAGACCCCACCTTGATCCAAACTCTCCATGGATCCCAAAAGCCTCGGAGTGTTTCTGAGCCAAGCTGGGTGTGTGCCCTGTGCGTCGGAAAGCCAGTCACAGGGACACGGGTCTTCTGCAGGGAGAGTTTTATTGTAAGCACAGCAGCCAAATAAAGAGACAGAAGGTTGTGTCAAATTTGTGTCCCAAAGCATTGGGTACAGGAACTTTTACGGGTCAGCATAACTGTTTATTCATAAGGAAAGGGGTGTGTTCAGGGGGGTTTGCGTGATTTGGTCTGTGCTTGTTAGTGCACTTATGGGTTGTCATGCTTGTTCCTAGCTTCCACAGTCAAAAAATGGCAGATATGCTCCTCACTGTGGGGTGTGGGGGGGAATCTTAGCATGATAATGAAGAAAATATTACTCTGGGTCTTTTAGGGTTAGTTCTGGGCCTGCCCTGGTAGCGGGTTCCATCTGGATTCTCGGTTAAGGCCCCCCTCTTCATTCAGCAAATTCCTTGGAGTTCCAGGTAAGCATCCTATCAAACGGCTCAAGAAAAATGTTGTGTAGCTTAATCCCCTGGACAGCAGTTTCTAAGGTAAGGGACATTCTTAGTCTGCTGTTCCACAGTCAGCTCCACTTCACACATTTATTTCCTGCAGGCAGAAGGCAGACCCCAAGTTCTTGAACCCCCCAGGTTGGTCTGTGCCATCTCCATGACTTTACACTTTCTGTCCCTTCTGTGCATGTGGCATTTTCTGTCATTGTGGCTTTGGTAACACTGAGTGAAGTGGAATTCTTTTTGGAGCTGGAAGAGCTTTGCGGGATGTGTTTCTCTTGTGGCCAGTGGTTCAAAACAGCATGAGATCATCACAGTGAGTGGCTGTAGCTAAGGTCCCCGAGCTCTGGGAGAAATAAAATAAAGTGATGACATTTTAAAAAGGTACACACCAGGTTTCTCCTATTGTAGTGAGCCTGAACCTATGTCCCCTTTGTTAGTTCTCTGGGCTGTGAGTACCTACACCAAGTATTAAGAACTACTGAGGTAGAAAACGCCCTTTGTAAAATATGAGCCAGAGACTGTGTGCTCTGTATTACTCCCCTAGATGAAGCCAGTGTACTCATAAGGAATGTAGGACTCATGGGGAGAACACAGAGCACATTAAGGAATATTATACAAATTATTCTTATATAACATATGGTATGATGCAGGAAAATACGTAATGTAGCATAGATAGAATACCACAAGATGATATGATATGTCACATGGTATGCTTCTGAGACAGGGACCGTGCGTTTAGGCAGAGTAGGGTGAGGGCCTCCAGAAAAAAGCAAAGGGGGATAATTACAGTCAGAGCAATGTAACAATGTGCAAAGAAGTCCCGACCGAAACTTCATGTTAAGCATTACACAAAGTTGGAGTCACACTAATTCTTTAGGGTAAAGATACCAAACTAGGAATATAGGCATTCTTCAGTGAGATCAGTTAAAGCTCAACAGGCCAGGAGCCACTTGGCCTGGAATGTTTGAATGTTCCTCAGATGAAGAGAAGTATCTCGGCATAGCCCATGACCTCATTGGGCAATTAGATCATGACACTGTGAAATTTACCTTAGCCTGCTAAAAGGCCAAGCTTATTTATACCTATATGCTGTTTTTCCTTCTCTAACCTTAATCAACTAATCTGCAACCTGGGCAAATAATTTCATAAGCAAGCCCAGCTATTAACAGCCCAAGAAGTTAAGAAATGAGATTCTTATCATACTCTTTAGCAAATAGACAACAATCCAGCCCACCTTGGGGGCAGGACAAGCAGCCTTAATTGATATGCTTCCAGAGGGAAGCCGCTCTCCTGAGAAGGAATCGGAGCAGCATATTTCTTCTGTCACTCATCAAAAATGAGCATTCTGGGAACACTTAACAAGTCTGCACCCCTAGACCTTTGCCACATTCCTAAAAATCCTCAGCTGCTAAGTCCCCTAGACAATGTACCACCACAGACTCTCTTGTCCCCTCCTGGTGTAAGCCAGGAGCTCTGTCCTCTCACTTTCTCTCTAAATAAAAGCCTCTCCTTTGCTCTTCTACCTTGAGTGTTTGTGAAGTTCATTCTTTGACTCCGTGAACAAGAACCCCAGTATCACTTTGGTGTAGTGTAGCATAATGTAATGTGATCTGACGTAATTAAGATTATGTTTAATATATAAACACTCAGTAACACTAGGGCTGAGACATAGCACCCATGAAAAAGCTGCCAGTTATCCAGCTGAAGTGTGGATCTTGTTTTGAAGAGGACATGGCCGAGCTCAAAAGGTGGCAAAATGTGCTGGAAATTGACTGCCTGGAACTTGGCAGAGGTCCTCACATCGCAGTGTCCTGTGGGTGGAACTCTGTGCAGTTGAGTTCATTCTCCTTGGTTCTTGTCCCCACCCCGACAAAGAATTGAAAGGCAGAGACACAATAGCAAAGCAAAACGAAAGTTTTATTTGAATATACTCCAAGGGAAGAGCCGGCCAGAGTCAAGGTAGACAAAGGCAGGCTGCTTACTGTGAGGTTTCTTTCTACGGGTTTTTTGGCAGGACAGAGAATTCCTTGATTGACTACCTTTGACCTTGGAGGCCTGGTCTGATTGGTAAGAAAAGAAGACAGGGGCTGGTCTGATGGTTTCTGTGACTGTCTTTGGATGTTTTACTTTCTTTTATCTGGGGAGTCTGTGCTGGGAGACTTCTCATGCAGGTATGTTGCTTTTTTTAAATCTGGGGAATGTTTGGACATTCCAAGTAACTCCTAGTCCTTGAAACTTCAACTAAATAACTGTGAATCTTTTCTGACTCTCCGGTTTTATCTGGTTAACTCTTTGAGTCCTTTTCAGTGGGCTTTACTCTCCCTCCACCTGCTTATGTCTACCTTTCTACCTAACAGAACCAGTTGGTGCCCTTGGTATGGGGATCCCACTAGGCACCGCCCTGGGGGCGGGACTCTCAGCCACTAGAGCTGCAGGGACAGGACCACCTCCCAGTGGGTCTGGGAGGCAGAGTACTGGAGCCGAGGGCCATTCATGAGCCGCGAGCTCATGTGAAGTCTGCCTTGCCAAGTTATGGGCTTGCTTGGGACCCCTCTCGCCATTTCCTATTTACCCCTCTTGGAATGGGAATGTCTATTTCTGCCCTGTTTCACCGCTGATTTTTGAAAGCATGTACTGTTTGGTTTCACAGGTTCATAGTAGGAGAGCAGTTTTGCCTCAGAATAAATTGCACCTTAAGTCAAACTCATATATGACTTTGATGATACTTAGAGGAGTCCCTGGACTTTTTAAATATCAAATTATGATTTCTATCTTTTTACACACTTTTTTCTTCATGTTTCCTGCTTGTATTCAATGAAGAGTGTAATAAGCTGTCTGAGCAAGGGGCATTCAGGTGTCATATTTCTCAGGCACCTACAACAGTACCTGATACTGAGTGTTTGCTCAATGAACACTTCTCAGAGCTGTGAAAACACATGACACTCAAGTTCTTTTTCATTTTTACAAATTCACCTGCTCTAAACGTCCATTTCAACGCTTTCTCCAAGCTGGTGTTGCTTGATCTTTTCAAGAACAACAGCCCTACTCCCAAATTCTCTGAGGTGTTCACCTTCTTCATTATCTTCTGGTGTTTCCCCATAACTATTTCTGACACTGTCTTTGAATAACTACATCAGCATTATTAAAAACTTTGTGAAACCTGCATTCCAAAAGTTTTTCTGATATGATCTCAATTTCCCATGAAGAACCGTACCTGCAATCACTGGAGAGTGGTAACTACTCACCAGCAAAGGCATGAGATCATGGTCTTTAGATGCCCCCTTCATCTGGTGTTCAGCTACTCCTTTGCACACACGACTGTGACTGACCCAAGCCAGCACGGCATCAGTCAAGTTGGTCTGTTTGAGATAGGTGTGCGTTCACTAAAACAGAGTATGTCTTAGGAGATGCAGTAAGCAATATTATATACATGAAAATATTCTTCAATGGATAGGACATACTGACTCCGCAAGCAATAGAGAGGTTTTCCATAGGAACCAGATTTAGAATTCCTGCTTGTCCACCTAACTCAAAAAGCCCTCTTCTTTCTTTCCTGTCACCGCCCTGTATAGACTTTCCTCTGATTCCGAGCCTATCACAATGCAAGTCAAACAATGACTATCACCTCGGGCTACATGCGGTTGAAGACCAGTAAGATCATGTGTCCAAAATAGGCGTGGAATTATTTTACGTCTGAACGACCCCGTGGAGGGATACGGCCTTTTAGAACAGAACTGAGAGCACGTCAAACGATGCTATCTTCGGAGAGCAGGCTGGGCTGCAAGAAACCTGAAATTAGGTGTCCGCCGCAGTTCAAAGAGCAAAGCCCCTCCTCCCTCCGGTGGGACCTCCGCTTCCGCGCGCCCCCTGGCGTGGCGCGGCCCAATGCCCTGGTTGGTCGGAATGGGAGCGCCCCTGTCCCAGGGGGCCAAGCGCCCGGCTGACCCCGTGAGAGATGAGGGAACAGTCACTTCCGTGAGAATTCTCGGCGTCGGGGCGGGACTTCCGGCCCGTCCTCGTGGCGGCCATCTTGGCAGCGTTTCGGGGCGTCTGGCTGCAGAGCGCCTGGTGGGGCCGAGTTGAGCGAACCCTTCAGTGCAGGAGGAGGCCTGGCGACGCCGCCCGCGGGCCCCGCGCCAGGGCCGGGATCGGGACCGCCGCGCCCACGGAGCCCGATGGCGGTGCGCTGCCAGGCTCAGGTACCTGCCCGTCCCCGGGCCTCCCGCCCCCACCCACCCTCGGTCCCCGAGTGCGGGCCCTGCTCACAGTCCGGAACGTAGAGGCGCCCGTGGGCGGGGCCCGTGTCCTGAGCGCCGGCGGACGGCGCGTGGGGCCGGTTGCGGGCGGGGGGACCCGCGCGCGCGGAGGCCGGAGGTGCAGCCGAGCCGGGAGGACTCGGGAATCCGGGGAGCCTGGGTCGGCCTTCCGCCTGCAGGGAGCCCTGGGAGGCGGAGGCGCGCCGGGTCTGGCGGGCAGAGGGCTTTGTCTCCCTTCTGAGGACCCCGGAGCCATGGTTTTACGTTCCCCAAAAGCTGCTCAGAGAGAGAACAGACTGGAGTAGGGGTGGTGGGGAGGGTGAGGCACAGGGAGTCGGGTCCTCATCCAAGGGCACGGGGCTGGTAAGGGCAGCGCTGGGGCTGAGGCACAGAGTCAGGTAACTGAGGTCACCTGGTTCAAGGGCGGGTCGGGGATACAGGTACCCGGTTGTCACGAAACCTGGCCCCCGCCGTCCTTGTCCTCCCACGGATTCTGATCATTGTAAACACGTAAGGGACCTACGCGAGGGAGGAGCGGGTGTCCCAGGGCCATACTTGTCTCGACGCCACCCGTATGGTGTCTGGCATTTGGTACCTTGATGTTCTTGAAATTTTCGCGGCTCCTGGGTGGGGAGGGGTGGGGAGGCTGGGGATGCGTCAAGCCCAGGGTCCCTGAGTCCAGGCCAAGGGTTACGTGGAGGTTTTCCCATTCCTGTCAGCTAATGTAAACAGGTGTAACACTGTTTAACAGTTACCTGCTTGTGCAGATGCTTGGCGGTGTGCCTAACCTGAGGCAGGCAGCCAATCTATATTCTTTCTGTTGGGAACAAAGAGTGAGTGTCAGTAATCAGGTCTGATTGTGGATGTCTACCACATTTGGCGTCTGGTACGGAGGTAATAGTAGGTTTGGAGAAGAGGGAGTAGGCGATCCCGTCTAGGTGTTTTGTGTTTTCCAATTATATTCCATTCCTCTAAAGGATGAACAGATAAGGCTTTTTCTGTCTGATTATTACCCAGTTTTCAGTCTGCTCTGTCTGGCTTCAGAAAAGAGAACAGACTAATGGTGTTAGGGATTAGGCGGGGATCGCAGGAAGAGTCAGCGGTATAGTCCACATGAGTGCTGATGGACCGTAGTTGTGGCCATGGAGGTGGAAGAAAGTTTGGGTCCTAGGTCCATTTTTTTATAAGGCCCAAGTAGAGTTTTGGATATTGTAGGTGAGAGAAAGAATGAGAGAGGTTAGGTATGACATAAGGTCTTTTGGGCCCAGCAGTTCAAGAGATGAATGCTCCATCAGCTGGGATGTGCAAGTTGTTGATAGGTTATTTTTCCTTGGGAATATCAGAACTTCTGTTTGGACCTGTTAGTCTGAGATGACTCAGAGAACAGTGAGTAGAGACTGCAGGTGGGCTGATGGAAACCCAGCTCTAGAAATCTGGGGTTTCAGGAAGGAGACTTTCAGAAGTGTTAGCAGTTGTGAGGACTAGGGTGGGGCTGTGGGTCACATTTAGGAAGTGGTATGCAGGTTACAGTGGTGATGCTGTTACTGGGCCAGAAAGACCAGGGATCATGCCAGGGAGTGGTTCTCTTCCTTGGCACCTCATGGAATATAGGCGATGGAGAGAAGTGATTGTGGGAACGGCTTTGGAGGCAGAGGGTTAATGGAGGCGTGATGACGCTGAAGGCAGGCCTCTTGCTAATTCAGTACTGTTTGGATTCATCGGAACTTTGTTGTGAGCTCTGATGGGGTCTGGGGTGTTTCAGTCGTGCTGGTGAATAAGATTTGGTGAAGAGTTGTCATTTGGGACAGTCGTTTTGCCTATCAGGGATACCATAAGGGTTAGAGTTTTAAAGAAGGTTGAATGAAGAGGAGGGTTATGACTGTTGAGGGGACAGAAAGTCCAGCTCTGAAATAGAAGATTGTCGTGGGCATTTGTATTTCACATGTAGCTCTTGGTGGTAATATTGAAGCAAGGATCTGAGGCCTGTGGGAAGGCCTTAACAGTGGAGGCTTTCTGTAGTGGTGTGATCCCTCAGAGATCTGGGAGGCTACTGGGTTGTGTTTTGAGTTTGCCAAAGCGCTCTCTGGGTGCCATGTGCCAAGTACATGGGTGGGTCCAGGGAGATGCCTGTATTGTAAGGTAGGAATCTAACAGCTCTGAGAGTGCAACTGTGGGGACGGAAGGTGTTAGGAGAGGCAGACTCTACAGAATGATGTGCACACACACAGGCAGTGTGCACTGAAAGCCCGCAGCCCTGGTAGTGGGGACTCGGGTCAAACATGAGCTCACATTTGGTTGTGTCTTGAAGGCACAGGCTGGGAGACCCCAGGGGAATTGTGCGGCAGGAAGGATGGAGCCCTGCAAGCCAGGCCCAGAGCTTGGATGGCGTGTATCGTCCCCATGCCTGTTACTGCAGAGGGCTGAACACAGTGATTAATGGGATGCTGAGGAGAGACTGGGCACCAATGGCACCGAGGCCTGGTACCTCTGAAGTGGGGAGCTCTGAAGGTGGATGAGTGTGAAGGGATGGACTGTGGATTCTCAGAGAAAGTTCATGGTTTCATCTGCCCCCATGCTGATAGGACCATTTGACCTTTGAGGACGTGGCCGTGTACTTCTCCTGGGAGGAATGGAGGCTCCTTGATGAGGTTCAGAGGCACTTGTACCGCGAGGTGATGCTGGAGAACATTTCACTGTTATCCTCCCTGGGTAAGACTTGATACCTTTCCAGTCCCCTGTCCTAGGCTCTGTATCCTGCCCCACCCACTTTTCCCAGGGCGGGCGCTCTTACTTTTCACATGTGGAATGTGGGCACTTCTTGCTCCCCGTGCTTTCTGGGTACTTTCTCCGTTGCTGTGTTGTTTGCACTGCTCCCTGCACCGTAATACCTGCTGTGCTGATGGTAAGAATTTGAGGTCAGTAGGTTTACAGTAAGTCTGGCTCCACCTTGCTTACTCTGTGGTCTGGTGAATGTGTCCACCTCCATGGCTCTTTTGTAAAACAGGCTTTGCTCCCTTCTTTAGCTGACATGTATGGCCTCCCTGTGCCTGGAATTAGGCATTGTCATGGTCGGTAATTACCTGAACCCTGGGCTATCTTTCAAGACCCACCTGCACAGTTTGTAGTGTTCGGTGTAGAGTTCTTTTTTTGTTTGTTTCAGCATTGTAGATATATAAAGTTATGTCTACTTAACATGTATGATGTGACGATTCAACATGTGTGTATGTCAAAATAATTCCATAATTAAGTTAATGAACACTTCCATCACTTCATATTGTTACTTATATTTTGGCAAGAACACTTAAGATACACTTTCCTAGTAAATTTCAAGTGTAAAATACAGTATTATTAACTGTAATCATGTTGTACATTAGATCTTAGGAACTCACTCACCTTATAAATGAAGGTTTTTACTTTTTCACCAACTCCCCATCTCCCCACATCCCCTAGCATTCTGCTCTGTTTCTGTGATTTCAATTTTTGTGTGTGTTAGATTGCACATGTACATGATACCATACAGTGTTTGTCTTTCTCTGACTGGCTTATTTCACTTCACATAATGCCCTCTAGGTTCATACATGTTAATCCTGTATGGCAGGATTTCCATCTTTTTTACATTCAAATAATAGTCCATGTGTGTGTGCACACCACAGTTAAAAAAAAATTTTCATATGGAAGTTTGTACCTCTTCATCCCCTTCAACTATTTCACCTGTCTCCCCACACACTTTCCCTATGACAACTACCAGGTTCTCTGTGTTTATGAGTCTATTTTATGTTTTAGATTCCACATATAAGTGAAATCATCTGGTATTTGTCTTCCTCTGACATATTTCACTTAGCATAATACTGTCTGGTTCATCCATATTGTTGCGAAATGACAAGATTTCATACTTTTATGGCTGAATAATATTCCAGTGTATATATGTCCCACATCTTTATTCATCTTGACTATTATAAATAATGCTGTGGTAAACATAAGGGAACATGTATTTTTTTGACTTAGTGTTTTCATTTTCTTTGGATAAATACCCAGAAATGGAATTACTAGACTGTATGATCTTTCTATTTTTAATTTTTTGAGGAATCTCCATACTGTTTTCCATAGTGGTTGCACCAATTTACATTCCTACCAACAGTGTAGGAGGGCTCCCTTTTCTCCATATCCTTGCCAACAGTTGTTTTTTTTTTATATTTTTCATAGTAGCCACTCTGATTGGTATAAAGTGATAACTCATTATGGCTTTGATTTGCATTTCCTTGATAATTAGTAACGTTGAACATGTTTTCAAGTGTCTGTTGGCCATCTTGGAAAAATGTCTATTTAGGTCATCTGGCCACTTTTTAATTTGTTTGGTTTTCTGGTGCTGAGTTGTATGAGTTCCCCCCCTGCCCATTTTAACCAAATTTTTAAATTGACATATGAAAAAGTGTATTGTGTGGGTTTTTTATATATTTTGGATATTAACCCCTTGTCACATAATATATCTTTCGCCTTTTCATTTTGTTGATGCAAGGTCTTTGTTTTGGTTACAGAGGTTTTTTTTTTTAACCTTAGTGTAGTCCTACTTGTTTATTTTTGCTTTTGTTTCCCTTGCCCAGGGAGACTTACCCAGAAAAATTTACTAATGCCAATGTTCAAGCATTTACTGCCTGTTATTTATTTATTTATTGTCTTTAATACATTTTAAGTTTATTTTTGTGTATGGTGTAAGACAGTGGTCCAGTGTCATTCTTTTGCATACTGCTGTCCAGTTTTCCCAACATCATTTATTGAAGAGGCTCTCTTTTCCCCACTGTATATTTTTGCCTCCTTTTTGTAGATTTGGACCATATAAGTGTGGGTTTATTTCTGGGCTCTCTATTCTGTTCCATTGATCTTCTGTGTCTATTTTTTTTCCAGTACCGTGCTGTTTTGATTACTATAGCTTTGTAGAATAGTTTGGAATCAAAAGGCATAATACTGCTAACTTTGTTTTGGCCCAAGATTACTCTGGCTATTTGGGGTTCTTTGTTTCTCCATACAAAGTTTAGGATTATTTGCTCTAGTTCTGTGAAAAATTTCATTGGTATTTTATTAGGGATTGCATTGAATCTGTAGATTGCTCTGGGTAATATGGCCATATTAACAATATTAATCCTATCTATGAGCGTGGAATATCTTCCCATTTATTTGTGACATCGTTAATTTCCTTCATTAGTGTCTTATGTCATTAAGCATACCGGTCTCTCACCTCCTTGAATTTATTCCTAGGTATATTGAAGCAATTATAAATAGGATTGTTTTCTTGACTTTTCTCCCTCTGCTAATCCGTTGTTAATATATAGAAATACAACTGATTTCTGTATATTGATTCTTATATCTGGCGACTTTACTTAATGTTCTTTAGTTCTAATAGTTTTTGGGTGGAGTTTTTGGGTTTTTTATGTGTTTATCATGTCATCTGCAAATAGTGACAATTTTACTTCTTTCTAATTTGGATTCCTTTTAATTTCTTGTCTAATTGCTGTGGCTAGGATTCCAGTACTATGTTGAATAAAAGTGGTGAGAGTGGGCATTCTTGCCTTGTTCCTGATTTTATAGAAAAAACTTTGAGCTTTCCATCAAGTATGACGTTAGCTGTGGGTTTGCCATGTATGACCTTTGTTATGTTGTGGTAAGTTCCTTCTATACACACTGCTGAGAGTTTTTATCAGGAATGAATGTTGGTAATTTTGTCAAATGCTTTCTTTGCCTTTTGAGATGATCATGTGGTTTTTAACCTTCATTTTGTTAATGTGGTGTAACTCATTGATTTTTTCAGATGTTGAACCATCCTTCAATCCCTGGAATAAATCCCACTTGATCATGGTGAATAATCCTTTTAATGTATTTTTGAATTTGATTGTTAGTATTCTGTTAAGGTTACATTTATGTTCATCAGTGATAATGGTCTGTAATTTTTTTAAAAGTTTCTTTGTAGTGTCCTTGGTTTTGGTAGAGTGATGCTAGCCTTATAAAAATCAATTTAGAAACTTTCCTTCCTCAATTTTTTTGGAGAAGTTTGAGAAGGACAGGTATTAAATCTTTAAATATTTGGTAGAATTTATCTGTGAAGTCCTCTGGTCCTGTATTTTTTTTTTGTTGGGATTTTTTTTTTTTTTT